CAACCACCAACAGGAAGTAGCGCTCGTAACCCTGCCCACGGACGGGGGCTGGGCCCCACACATCCATGTGAAGCGTCTGCAGGGGAGGCTCTGTCGGGGGGAAGTGGGAGGAGTGAGGAGTAGCCCGGAGGCGACCCTCGACACAGGAGACACAGGAAGGTCCTGGTCCGGAGGGGAGAGGAGGGAGAGACTGGGGAAGACCAGAGACAAGGACACGGGAAGCCATGCTCCGAAGACGGGGCAAGGAGGGGTGTCCAAGACGGTGGTGCCACAGGAGAGTCTCGTGAGACAGGAGGCGACAAGAACAGGGGGCAGACTCAGGACCTGACCGGGACGCAGCAGCAAACACCTGACCTGACGCAGCTACCTGACCGGACGCAGGGACAGGAGGAGACGAAGTGGTCAGGGTGTAGAGACTCGACCCCGGCCGACGCGAGAACGTGGCCAGGTGTCGGCCTGTGCGTGCGTCCGTGCAGTGGGTCACCCGCTGACTCGCAGGAGTGAACTGGTGGACCCCCGCATTCTGCAGGGCTGCACCACTCACCAAGTTCGTAGAGAACGAGGGAAGGTACAGACCAGACAGGGTGCCTGAAGGGGCAGCTAGACACGGGAGGACAGTGGAGAAGTGAGAGAGGACAGGACCCCCAGAGGGGTCAGCAAGGGAGACCGCAACCGGCCGGTCGAGCGGCGTAAGGGCAGTGCGGTCTCGAAAGAAGGAGCGAGAAGCCCCGGAGTCAAGTGTGAAAGTGAGGGAGGACGAGGACGACGCAGTACCTGAGAGCGCAGTCTCACCAGTACCTGAGAGCGCAGACGCACTGGCACCTAGAGCAGCAGCCTCACAAGCACCTAGCGCAGCAGTACCAATGCCCGGGTCGGGCGGGAAACACCGGTAACCCTCATTCTCCTCACTATAAGTCACAGTATATATAGCAGCAAGGATAGCATCAAAATCAAGATCAAAGATCGCTACACCAGCCCTAAGAAGCTCATCCCAGCGAGGGATCTCACTAGCCCCAGGGAACTGCTGACGCCAAGCGTCCGTCAGGCGGCCAAAGCAGCGCTGGGCAGCGTGGGCACCCCCACACTGCTCCCCGGCGCGGTCGCCAGAACGAAGAACGTAGGTGCAGGGACCAGTACCCCCACCCCTCTGACGCCCAGCGTACCACTCACGAAGCTGCTGAGGCGAAGGGATGTCCCGCGAGCGCTGCTGCTGCTGCCGCTGCGAGCGCTGGCCACCACCACCGCTGCTACGCTGCTGGGTACCACCCCGACCAGCTCCACCTCCTCCACCACCACTGCCTCCTCCGCTGCCGCCTCCACCGCCTCCACCTCCGCCGCCTCCACCTCCGCCGCTGCCTCCACCACCACCGCTGGCACCACTACCACCGTCTCCGCCGCTGCTGCCACCACCACCACCACCACCCCCGCCACTAGTCCCGCCGCCACCCCCACTCCCTCCGCCGCCACCGCCGCCACCGCCACCGCCCCCTCCAGCTCCACCCGCGCCCTTGCCCCCCTTGCCCTTGCTGGAGCGACGTCTCCCACTAGGGGCAGACGCCGCGCCGATCGACTCAAGACCAAGCAGGTCGGCAGCAGCAGCAGAGGCAACAGAGGGCAGCAAGGGGGAAGGAGAGCACCCCTCAAAGATGGGGGTGCGAGGGTCACCACGAGAAGCACCTACAGCGACTATGCTCTTCTCCGCTGCGAGGAGGGCCTTCTCAAGGAGGTCGACAGTGAGGGTGGTGGGACAGACTGCGAGAAAGTGGTCCCTGACTACGTGAAGGGAGTCAGGGAGGCGCGCGACTACGTAGTAGAGAGCGATGTACATGGGGGGTGGGTTCTTAGCGCAGAACTCAGCAGGAAGGGCGGCGCGGTAGCGAGTGTCACTAGCGCGGAGGTGCGTAATGAGATCAGCGACAGTGGGAAAGGCAGAGAGGTCAGGAAAGAGGTAGGGAAGCATGAGGCGGCTTAGTGCAGCAGTGGCAGGGGAGGAGTAGCGCGCAACTACAGCGTCGTACAAGGTCTGAGCACTCTTGTACTGACTAAAGTGCGCACGCTCAGAGGTAGGGAGGTGGCGACGCACAGCAAGACGTGCAGCAGCATCGCGAGTGGCCCACTTAGAGCGGACAGTGGGATCAGCATCAGCAGCAGGAGCAGGAGAGGCGCCAGAGGTGAGGTCAAAGAGAGAAAGGTCGTCAGCCCTGTCGCACTGTAAGAACAGTTGCAGGTCGTCTAACCAGACCTCAAAATCAATGGCGCGACCCTCAGCGTCAAAAGCTAGGACACTAGGGGTAGCCATGACGACGACAGCGAAGCAGTGCAAGCAGTAGGGGAAGAGCACGCAGTGACAGTGCGACAGTGCTCACCAGGCAGGGCAGGCCGGGAAACTCTGCAGAAGGGCGGCTTGGCGACTCAGGGACTCGGCTGCTGGGCGGCTCGGCTCCCGGGCGGCTCGGCGGCAGGGCGTCTCGGGTGCAAGGCGGCTCGGCGTCCGGGCGGCTCGGCGGCAGGGCGGCTTGGGTGCAGGGCGGCTCGGCTCCCGGGCTGCTCGGCGGCAGGGCGGCTCGGGTGCAGGGCGGCTCGGCTCCCGGGCTGCTCGGCGGCAGGGCGGCTCGGGTGCAGGACGGGGCCGGGACAGAGGACGGCGGGGCCGTCAGGGTGTAGCGGCGGGGCCGGCAGGGTGCAGCGGCGGGGCCGAGACAGGGGACGGCGGGCCCGTCAGGGTGCAGCGGCGGGGCCGGCAGGGTGCAGCGGCGGGGCCGTGACAGGGGACGGCGGGGCCGTCAGGGTGAGGCGGCGGGCCGTAGGGTGCAGCGGCGGGCTGGCAGGTGCAGCGGCGGGGCCGTCAGGGGAGGCGGCGGGCCGTAGGGTGCAGCGGCGGGCCGGTAGGTGCAGCGGCGGGGCCGTAGGGTGTAGTGGCGGGCCGGCAGGTGCAGCGGCGGGGCCGTAGGGTGCAGCGGCGGGCCGGCAGGTGCAGCGGCGGGGCCGTAGGGTGCAGCGGCGGGCCGGCAGGGCCGCGTCAGAGCCGGCGGCGGGGCCGCGTCAGTGGAGGCGGCGGGGCCGCGTCAAGCAGGCGGCGGGGCCGCGACGTAGCGGGCGGCAGGGCCGCGTCAGAGCCGGCGGCAGGGCCGCGTCAGTGGAGGCGGCGGGGCCACGTCAAGCAGGCGGCGGGGCCGCAATCAGGAGGGGTGGCGGGGCCGCGTCTGAGGGACAGCGGGGCCGCGAGGGAAATGGCGACCCGAGGGGTCGCTAAAAAAAAATTGCGCGCCTCGGGGCGCGCTTCGGTGGGCCCTAAAAAAAAACGGTCCTTAGGAAGGACCCGCTCTATACCATGTGAAACAAGTAAACAGGAATGAAATGACTAAGTCAGAGTTGGGTACAAATACAACCCTAGAAAGCTGTACCCCATATGTGCTACCCCACTATAGCCTACAAACATGCATCAGCTAAGATAATCTGACATGTATGATATGTCAGAATATTATCTTATGTTCTAGCCTGTAGTGGGGTGCTCAATAGCGAGTACAACCCTTCTAGGGTTTGCTATTTGTATCCCCATTTCTGCTAGTTCAACCCTCTTTCTTTCTTCTAATTTTGTCATGCTATCAGAGCAGGTCGATCCCCTAGGATCGATCCTGTGGGTGGGTTACCACCTCGCTTCCGCTGCTACTTTTTCCTTCCGCCGTGCGCCCCGAGGCGCGCGGCGGTTTTCTGCCCGCCGTGCGCCCCGAGGCGCGCGGCGGTTTTCTGCCCGCCGTGCGCCCCGAGGCGCGCGGCGGTTCTTTGCCCGCTGTGCGCCCCGAGGCGCGCGGCGGGCTTCTGCCCCGTCGGTCGCCACGTCGCCTTCTGGAGGCGTCGCGACGGGCGACGGGGACCCTTCGCGGCCCCGCCCCTACTTCACGGCCCCGCCCTCGTCGCGGCCCCGCCCTACCTTCGCGGCCCCGCCCTACGTCGCGGCCCCGCCGCCGACCTGTCGCGGCCCCGCCCTACGTCGCGGCCCCGCCCTGCGTCGCGGCCCCGCCCCTCGAAGCGGCCCCGCCCTACGTCGCGGCCCCGCCCTACGTCGCGGCCCCGCCCTGCGTCGCGGCCCCGCCCCTCGAAGCGGCCCCGCCCTACGTCGCGGCCCCGCCTCCGGTTGCGGCCCCGCCAACTCCGGTCGCGGCCCCGCCAACTCCGGTCGCGGCCCCGCCACCGACCCGTCGCGGCCCCGCCGCCCCACTTCGTGGCCCCGCCGCCCCACTTCGCGCCCCCCCCCCCCCCCCCCCCCCCCCCCCCCCCCCCCCTCCTAGTTTTTGGGTCGTTAACTATCACGCATTTTTATGATATGTCAGAATATTATCTTATGTTCTAGCCTGTAGTGGGGTGCTCAATAGCGAGTACAACCCTTCTAGGGTTTGCTATTTGTATCCCCATTTCTGCTAGTTCAACCCTCTTTCTTTCTTCTAATTTTGTCATGATATACTGGTGTGGTGCATTTCAGCATATCATATGCATACAAATGCATTTTCATGTGTGTATCTTTATTAGGTATGCACCTATATATCATGCCTCATCATTTCATTCATTTAAGCATGTGTGGCGTGTAATTCATTATTAGTACTCATAACATTTATTACATGCAATGATCACTACATCAAACAGTAAAAGATATAATACAAACAGTATAGCATTTATGCACAAAACTACTACAAAAACTGCTACCAACATTCAAAACACTTCAACATGCACAATGGGAAGGGTGATAGTGTAGCTTACAACTTTTTTTTTCATGTTTTATTTAAAAAAAAAACCATGAAAAAAAATTGTCAAAATCGATCGTAAAGGGTTGCTTCGCAACCCAAAAAAAAGGAAGGCAAACTGTGCACAGTTTGCCTTCCGAGCCCACAGTTGACTTCCCGAGTGTTATAAGTTGTGAAAGAGAAGAGTGCGCAGAACTCAATAATGCGGAAGTGATTACAACATCTGAACGAACAACGAGGCCTAGGCATAATATAGCAAGGTTAGCTAGGCCGAGATCGCGGGGTCGCGAGATGGTTGGGTGCAGGTTCGGGGTTGGAAAAACCCGAAAGCGACGCGGTGGTGGTTCGGAAGGCGAGGTCGGCGGGCCGAGCCAGGTTTCCCGAAAGTCGGAGTTGTACGCGTACTGTGTGACCAGGGCCCTATATATCAGACTTTGGAGTCTGATTCAGAGTCCGTTCATACTTTTTTTTTTTTTAACCTAGTCTGAACTCAAAGGATTTTTTTATGCACCCGGTCAGATTTTTCAGAGTTTTTTTAACTGACTAGTCTGAAATTTCAAAGTAGTCATAGTAGTGCATGTCAGAATGTAATTGTATACATTACTATAACTGCCTGTAGTGTAGACCTAGTGTAGTTATATCGCTTTCATGTTAGGTGGTGCACCCTTTTCCTTCACTATATCTTGTACAACTTTCTATAGTGAAACCCCTCATTTCTCCTTTCAACTTGCTCGATACTCTCCTCCTACTCAACTTACTCGACCTAACTAGCTATGGCTCCTAAGCTTTGCTAGATAACTTTCACATGTTATCAGAGTGACCACGGTTCTTACCTGTGGACCCGCCCCATTGCTTCCGCTGCTACTCTGTGTTCGGCACGCCCCGTGGCGTGCCCCTTAACCTTTCCTTAGCGGCCCGTCGCCACCCTACGCGGCCCGTCGCCGCCCTTGCGCCGCCCGTACCGGCCCGTCGCCGCCCGTCCCGGCCCGTCGCCGCCCGTGCGCTACCCGTCCCGGCCCGTCGCCGCCCGTCCCGGCTCGTCGCCGCCCGTGCGCCGCCTGTCCCGGCCCGTCGCCGCCCATACCAGCCCGTCGCCGCCCTTCGCGGCGTCGCGTGCCGCCCGTACGACGCGCCGCCGTCCGCTGCGGCCCCGTTGCCGCCCGTACCGGCCCGTCGCCGCCCGTCCCGGCCCGTCGCCGCCCGTGCGCTGTCCGTCCCGGCCCGTCGCCGCCCGTCCCGGCTCGTAGCCGCCCGTGCGCCGCTCGTCCCGGCCCCGCGCAGCTGCCCCGGCCCGTCGCCGCCCGTGCGGTACCCGCCCCGGCCCCACGCCGCCTGTCCCGGCTCTTCGCCGCCCGTGCGCCGCCTGTCCCGGCCCGTCACCGTCCTTTGCGGCGTCACGTGCCGCCCCTCCCCGCGGCTCTGCCGCCTTACCTTCGGCCCCGATGCCACCTGCGGCCCCGCCCACTTGCGGCCCCGACCCCGCCCCGGCCATGCCTTGTCGCCAGCCGCGGCACACCGGGGGCACGTGCACTGCCCCCCCTCCTTTTCCCGTCACCCGTCGCGGCTTCTTCAGGGGTGGAAGGCGTGGGCAGGCGTCGCCCCCTCTGCCGCCTGCTTTGGCGCCCGGGGAGGCCGTGCGTCGCCCCCCACCCCCCCCCCCCCCCTTTTTCCCCCTTCTCCTTCGTCTCCCTGCAGCTGCAAGGAGGAGGGTCTGGGGGTGGCGGGTGTGGGGGTGTTGTGCTTCCCTTCCCCTCCTCCTCCTTTCGTTCCCACTGCTGCAGCTGCTGCTGGGGGGAGGGTGTGAGGGTGTGGGGAGCCGGGGGAGAGGCACTGGGGTGGCGGGTGTGAGACCAACCAGCAGCCGTCCCTCCACCTCTCCTCTCTTCCCCCCCTCTGCTGCTCCTGCAGCAGTGTGTGGGGGAGGGGGGGGGGGGAGGGTGAGGGGATGACAAACTAGCTCTATTACCTTGTTTGTTGTTGCTGCTTTCTTTGCACTTGGTGTACCTCTGCAGGAGGTGTACTGCACACGGTTCTTCACTGCAGGCAGTTAGGGGGTGTGTCAGAATGTAATTGTATACATTACTATAACTGCCTGTAGTGTAGACCTAGTGTAGTTATATCGCTATCATGTTAGGTGGTGCACCCTTTTCCTTCACTATATCTTGTACAACTTTCTATAGTGAAACCCCTCATTTCTCCTTTCAACTTGCTCGATACTCTCCTCCTACTCAACTTACTCGACCTAACTAGCTATGGCTCCTAAGCTTTGCTAGATAACTTTCACAGTGCATGCTGAGCCTCAGACTTCTATCGAGGATCCACTCTGAAACCAGTTATACAGGGGTTTCTGCCAGCCTGAATGAAAGGTTATCGGAACGAAACTTCCTCGAAACTTCTTTTCCTCAGGATGAAACTGCTCGAGTAGGGGCAACAGAATACACTACTTTGTCGACGCTATCACGAGAGTGGAATTTATTGGGAGCTTATAAGAACCCTTAAATTGTGGAACTAGATAGCCAATCACACATGGCCAAAACGATTTTAGCGAATCGCTCATGGCGAAAAGTGAATTGGTGCAAATGAAAGCCTTGTCACATATGAATCTCGTATTCAGCAGAACCGCACATCATTTCCCCTTGCCAAACCGAGTCAAAATCTCGAAGCTGCAACTTTAGGAGAAAATATTCTGCGCACATACGGTGTACACAGTTGAAAACTCTTGCTGCTGCCAGTGCGCCCAGCACAGAAAAGTGCCGAGCTGCCAGGTCATATGATTGTGAGCTTGCCACACTTGGCACTTGCACGAGGCCATTGTCTGATGCCCACACCTCGACCCTGACTGCTCAGTGTTCCTAAGGGCGGGTCAAAAGAGTACGTCCGATTGCAGTTCAAAGAGGTTTAGGCTTGATCCAGAGCGGTCTTATTTAAACACGAGATGGTTGAGTGGGGTTTTTTGCGAAAACGTGCAAAGCTTGACCCGCCCTAACTCTTGAAAAATGACCAATCAGAGTGCCCCATTTCTGGCCGCACAATTGCGTTGGTATGCTGTAATCAGCTTCAATGCTATTATAACTATGCTGTTATGAAACTGCACGAGCATCTTAAAATTTGAAGTAACTCTGACAGTTCAGACAAAAAAAGTTGTGCTTGTCTGAATTTTCAGACTAAAAGAAATAGGTAACTCTGACAGCCAGCCTAGGGAGAGGGGTGTACTCTGAGGCGTCAGACTACCTCAAAACGACTCTAGGGGCCTGTGTGTGACCCAGTAAGGAATCCGGAAAATTCCTTACATTACCCCCCCTTTAAGAAAGGTGGTGGATATCCGAAACACCTCGGCGGGCCAGGTAAGCCTCTAAAACCGGGTGTCCCAGTAGTGAATCAGCAACGACATACATGTCGTCCTCGCTCGTGCGGTCTTTCCAGCGAAGCAGGAGGTTCACCGAGCGGCCGGCGGCAGTCACATTCACGCGATGGTTAAGAATCCTCCAAGGTTCCAGCGTTGGTTCTGCCACGGGGCGAGTGGTCGGCGCGATGGTTGGTCGAGCAACAGCTGGCGACTGCGGCTGGTCGTAATGACGCAACAGGCTGACGTGGAACGCATCATGGATTTTCCAATCATCGGGCAGCAACAGCTTTGCGGTGAAAGGTGTCACCATCTGGATGATACGGAATGGTCCCACGTATCGGGGCCGTAATTTCGCGGGCTGCGGCAGCCGAAGATTCTTGGTGTCCAGAAGCACAACCTGCCCTGCGCAGAAGGGTAAATTTCGTCGGTGTTTATCCGCCTGGCGACTAGACGTGGTATTGGCTTTGCGAATGAAATCGGCTGCTTTCGTTCGGGCGGTTTGCAGTTCCGTGACAAACTGCTGCGATCTTGGTACCGGGTTGTCCACAGTCGTTGAAGAGGGTACCACGGGGTCTATCCCGTAATTCAGGAAGAAAGGTGATTGTTTAGTCGTGGCCGACGGGGCGTTGTTGTACGCGAATTCCAGCATCGGTAGTGAATCTTCCCACTTGCGAATGTCGGGGCAGTTGGTGCGAATCAGCTGTTCCATGGTCTGATTTGTCCGTTCTGTCTGTCCGTCGGTTTGCAGGTGGTATGACGACGAAAACTGTAGTCGGGTACCGTACTGTGCCCACGTTTCCTGCCAAAACTTCGACGTAAATTTCGGGTCACAGTCAGAAGTACGAAACAGGAATGGAGAAAGAGGAGGTTCACTAGCAAGCAGTTGGATACAAATAGCAAACCCTAACTGGGTTGTACTCGCTATGGAGCACCCCACTGCAGGCTAGATAAGATAACATTCTGACACACCCCCATAGCCAAAGTGGGGTGTAATCAGCACAGTAAGCAAAGCAGAACAAGCTCAGGGTGGATCACAATGTCACCACACATTCTGAGCACAATTACAAGAAGCAACAGTTTAAAGTTCACAATTATGAGCAAAGCTAGTGATAGTCACAGCGGGCAAGTGAGGAGGAGGAGGGACTTTGAGAGGAGAGAAGATGGGAGACGACGGCTGAAGCTGCAGACACACGGGCAACAGGAGCGGCTGGCACAGTGGCTACCGGGACAAGCGCCCCGGACTACTGGAGTAACTGGCTCACGGGCTACAGCGAGCTACAGGAGCAACGGACCCTCGGGCGACAGGCGCAGCAGGCTCTCTGGGCTAACAGGACAAGCGCCCCGGACTACAGGTGCTGCGGACGACAAGACTGCTGCCTCCACTCAACCTCCCCTAGCTGCCCAACGCCCCTCTCACACACCCACTGCTACACCCCCTAGCTCCACTCCCACGCACCCCCCTTAAACCCTAAACCCCAGTCTCCCACACATCCACCCCCCTCAGCGACAGCTGCAGCAGTGGGAGACGAAGGAGGAGGAGGAGCAAAGGGAGGAGGGCACAACCGCCACCCCCATACCCGCCACCCCCATACCCGCCACCCTCTACCCGCAAGCGGCCCCCTCAGGTCGCCACGACAGGCGACGGGAAAAGGGGGGTGGGGTGCACGTGCCGTAGGTAGGGCGACGGGGTCGGGCCTGTAGGGCGGCGGGACGACGGGGCCGCAGGTAGGGCGGCGGGACCGGGGCCAGGGCCGCAGGTAGGGTCGCCCGAGCCGCGCTCAGTCGGCCCGAGCCGCGCGCGGGCCTGGCGACGCCCGTACGGGTCGCGCGCGGGCCTGGCGCAGCCCGTACGGTTGGTGCGCGGGCCTGGCGCAGCCCGTACAGGCCGCAGACGGGTCGGGCGCGGCCCGTACGTGCCGCGCGCAGGCCACGACGGGCGACGGGGGGCGACGAACGGGTCCCCGTCGCCCGTCGCGGCGCCGCCCAAGGGCGACGCGCCGGTCGACGGGGCAGAAGCCCGCCGCGCGCCTCGGGGCGCACAGCGGGCAGAGAACCGCCGCGCGCCTCGGGGCGCACGGCGGGCAGAAAACCGCCGCGCGCCTCGGGGCGCACGGCGGGAAGAAAAATGCCGCACGCCTCGGGGCGTGCGGCTCAGAGGGTAGTTGCAGTAGTAGCAGCGGAAGCAAGAAGGTGGTAAGCCCACCCACAGGATCGATCCAAGGGGATCGACCTGCTCTGATACCATGTCAGAAGTACGAAACAGGAATGGAGAAAGAGGAGGTTCACTAGCAAGCAGTTGGATACAAATAGCAAACCCTAACTGGGTTGTACTCGCTATGGAGCACCCCTCTGCAGGCTAGATAAGATAACATTCTGATAGTCACGATCGCTGATGATCGCCGAAGGTAACCCGTGCAGGCGTACGACGGTGGAGATGAACAGTTTGGCTGTATCTTCGGCTGTGATTGTCGTTCGACATGGGGCGAAATGCACCATCTTCGTTAGGCGATCGACGACGACCAAGACCGAGTCGTTGCCATTCGTGCCAGCTGGGAGCCCCGTGACGAAATCCATCGTCACCTGTTGCCACGGTCGTTCGGGTGGCGCGAGGGGTTGCAGTAGGCCGGCTGGTCTTTGTCGCGACGACTTCATTGCTTGGCAAGTCGGGCAGGTTGACACGTAGTGTTGTACATCGGTCTGCATGTCCGGCCAGAAATAATTCCGCTGCAGCAGCTTCAGTGTCTTGTCGGTGCAGAAATGCCCGAAGAGGTTAGAGTCGTGGACCTCCTGCGTCAGCAGCTCCCGTAAAGGCTGGTATGCTGGTACCCAAATCCGGTTCGTACCGGCTTTTAGGTAGTATTTGCCGTGCGGTGTAGCAGCCTGTTGTTGCCGGGTTCCGAAAAAACCGGTCGATCTTATAGCCGTGGGTGAATAGTCCTGTTAGCATCGGGTTGGTGTGGGCGATTAGTGCCGCTGCGTTTTGCATGGATGGTCGGGTAAGGGCGTCGGCGATGTTGTTGGCGCCCTTTTTGTACGTGATGTTGTACCGGAAATTGGATTCGAGGAAGTCCAACCACCGGATTTGTCGCGGGTTGAGTGTCGGTTGCGTGCGCATGTACTGTAGCGATTTATGATCGGTCCGAATC